TGCTAAAGTATTTTGTATAACATTTTGAAGCGTATTTTTATATACCATACAATTCATCCATTTCAAGTGTACAATTCAATGATTTTTAATGAATTTAGCGAGTTGTACAACATCACCATAAATCAGTTTTAGAACATTTTCATCATCCCAGTAAGATCTGGCATCTCCATTCACTGTTAATACTCATTCCTGCCCCCCAGCACCAGGTAATTGCCAATCTACTTTCTGTCTCTATAGATAAACCTTTTCTGGGAAGTTCATATAAATGTAATCATGTGGCCTCCTGTAGCTGGCTTCTTCAATTAGCATAATGTTTTTGAGGTTTATCCATGTCATAACACGTACCTGTTTGCTTTTATTTACTTCCTGTTAATCAAAAATGAAACTCAGTTGTCTTTTCCTCTTACTGAATTTCAACAGGCTTCTTGTTGAATTTGTAGGACTTAAGTGTTAAGGACTTAAAAATTATATTGTTAATACTTACTCATACATTGAATGATACATGATCACATAGTCATGCAAGAAGCATTTATTATGGGCAAGGCATCAGAGATACAAAAATGAGTAAGATGTAGTCCTTGCTCCACAGCAGCCCTTGTCTAGAGGGTGCATCAGACATACAGACAGTAACGAGACAGTGTGACTGGCGCTGTCACGGAAGCCTGTACAGTATCTTCCAGTAATGTCAAGCAAGGACCAGCCAGATGCCTGAAGGAGGATGGAAAGAAGAGACGAACATGAAGTGGGCCTTGAAGGATGGACTAGATCTCTCTAGACTGGCTGAGTTCCACCGGTGGTGTAGGAGGTATTTTCAGGGAAATCCTTGGTGATTTGCAGTGGGGCATAGATAAGGCATGAGTTAACACTGAGTCACATCATAAGAAGGTTACTCTAATTTTAATTTTTTTTTCCCAGTCTTTTTGTTTATATTAGGTAGATCTTAGTTTAGCAGTAATATCTCTGTCATCTAGCACTTGCCAATATTTCTTACAAAGAAGAACCAGGTCTCTGTCTCCAGAGACTTTGGCAATTAATGGTATATAGCTCACATTTAATAGCAATGTATCTATATTTGCTGTTGCTAACTGCCATCAAGTGGGCCCCCAACTCATGGTGACCCCATGCACGATGAGATCAGACCACTATAATCCATAGAATTTTCATTGGCTGATTTTTGGAAGTAAAATCTCCTCCTAGGCCTTTCTTTCTAGTCTGTCTTGGTCTGGAAGCTCCACTGAAACCTGTTCAGCATTATAGCAACAGGCAAGCCTCCACTGACGGGCTGGTGGTGGCCGCGTTGAGGTGCATCGGCCGGGAATCAAACCCAGGTCTCCCACACAGAAAGCGAAAATTTTACCACTGCCCCCGGTATTTATATTTATTCATCTTTTGTTTATGGTAAATGACACTGCTTTTTAATTTTTTAATAGTGACATAAAGATTCCTTTTAAAATAAATTTACTTAAAGTGAGTTAAGAGAAAATACTGTATACAGTTATTCAGATTTTACATATCCATGAGGTGGTACTACTATCCAAGGAGCCTTGGTGGCACAATGGTTAAGTGCCCGGCTGCTAACCAAAAAGTCGTTGGTTCGAACCCACCGGCCCCTCTGTGGGAGAAAGATGTGACAGTCTGCTTCTGTAAGGACTACAGCCTTGGAAACTCTATGGGGCAGTTCTATTCTGTCCTATAGGGTGGCTATGAGTCAGAATCAACTCGACGGCCACGAGTTCTTTTTTTTTTTTTTTTTTTTTT